GAGGGAGGGAGGAGCCCCCTCCAATGGCAACAGCAACAGAAGCTGCGCCAGTGGATCGTTAATTACCATTAATTACCATTTCAGACTCAAAATCTCCCCGCTGAACCACCGCTCTGCCTTTTTTTTTCTTCCCTTTTACTCAACCACGCACCTTCCGTAGGACAAAGAAAAGGAAACGGAGATTACAAACGGAGCAACGAATCCCCCTGCCTTCAGCGGGACCATATGGCAACGAGGGTGTTTTAATTACCCTTGCTTTTAATTAACAATTGCTTCATCTGAGCAGTAACATTTCCTTGACATCCCCCGACTCGCCGCGAACCTGCGCGGTGCACGTGCCACGCCGAGTCATCAATCCCGCTTTATTGACATCCATCCCTCCCGCAAACAGGCACGATCCCAGGGTTTTCCAATTAACACCTCCACACTCTCTAATTAGCGCAATTAACAGGCTGATGGATGCCCGGAGCTTCCCTGCGAGGGAGGGGGCGGATCAGCTGCCGGGATGTTGGACACGGCTCCCGCCGCATGCGAGCGACACGCGTGTGCCACGCTTCCCGTGGGAGCACCACGTGGGTGCCGTGCCACGGAGCCTGGCACTGCCACGGAGCCTTCTGGAGTACCGGGAGAAAGGGAAGGATGGACACAGAGGCAAGAGAGAGACGACGGACTCGGAACAAACACTTGCACCAAAGGATGTGGGATCTTCAGGAGCAGGAATAGCAGATGAAGCATTTACAGTGATTTCTCCCCAAAAGCTCCCAAGGAATTTTGGGGTGTCCAGACCCACCCAAAGCGATGCCACTTCTCCACCTGATTCTGCTCCACGGACACGAGAATTAAATGGCACCTCTTGGCCCCTGGGACCTGCAGGAACAGGTACAGCCCCACCACGAGCTCCTCAGGAGCAATTGCCTCAACACCTATTTTAGCAGCTTTCCCTATTTTTAATTATCCTCGATACCACGATCCTCAGGGGCTCTGTAACTTTGGGCTGCCCTTCACGGGCTGCCAGAGTGACCAGTGCCACGTATGGGCCCAGTGCCACAGGCACCTCCTCCCCTCTACCCCTGTCCTCGAGTCCCTGTCTCCAAATCCCTGTCCCCAACCACTGCGGGTGCCCCTCGGCCTCAGTTTCCCCAGATCCAAACTCAAAGAGCTCAAAACCGTCACCCAAGGAGGGATGAGGAAGAATGGTGGGAAACACCAGTGGGAAAATGCTCCCACATCTCCACGAGCTCAGCAATGCCCTGGTGATGAACCAGCACGGGACAGCAGAGGTGACACCACACACTGACACACAGCACAGCACTGAGATGCTCCAGAGGCTATTTCCACCCTTCCCACCACATCCCGGCCCCAACGTGCGTTTTCCAGACCCTTCCTTCCAGCTCCAGCCTGTCCAGGACGTGGAGGGAGCTGAGGCTGCACGCTGGGGGTCCTCCCTCCAGCAGTTGCTCCCACAGGTACCAGCAAATCCTGGAGGTGCAACGGACCCAGCAAATCCCCCCAGAGCTCTCGGAAGTCCGTGGGATGCTCCTCTGCACAGCTGGGAGAAGAGGACTCGGGGAGGATGGATCCCAGGCACCGGATCTGCTCCGAGCTATGGAAAGTTGAGCAGCCTGCCTGTCCTGCTCCGGCACCGCTGGCTTTGGGAAGCGGCTCCTAATCTTGAAAGGCTTTGGCTGGAAGAGAAGCAGCAGCCAGGATTGCTCCGAGAGTGGCTTTTTACCCTTTAATTAACACATAAACACATGGAAATGTGGAAAGGGGATTAAAATAAAAGTCTGGGGGAGCTGAGACGAATCTAGAGCATTACCGTAAATTAGAAGATATTTAAGGAACCAGGGACTGGCTAAGCCCAGTCACTGCTTTAATGGGATCTCACCTCTGGGCACTTTCATCTCCCACTTTCATCTTGCTCCCAGCAACTTCTTTGGGAAGAGCCAGCCTGCGGCGCTCACCTTCACCCCCCGGCTCTCCTCACCTGTCTGGTGCCATCACACCCTGGCCACGCTCACGGGATCACCATCAGGCAGCAGAGAGTGTCGCTGCTCCACAGAAACCAAGCAGGAACGACCCCAGCGAGGTTCCTCTCCCCAGGAAGGGGGGTCAGATCAGCTGG